CATCACTACGCTACTCCCAGCTGCCTCCTCCGCCAATGACCGAACTCGAATTCTGGGCAGCGCTGGTCGCAGATTATCCCCAAACAGCCCAGAGACTCCCTACATTGACCTCGAACAAAATCCGAAGCGGTGTTCCGCCACCACTGCGTGGTGTGGTGTGGCCCAGCTTGGCGGGTGCCCGGGATAACACATTGTTGGCGGAATACCAGCGATTGTGTGGCGAGACGAGTCCCTACGAAGGGCTCATCGGCAAAGATATTGGCCGCAGCTTTCCCAATGTGGAGATGTTCCGGGATCCTAACGGTGAGGGGCAGCAGATGCTCGCACGGGTGCTGAAATGCTTCAGTCTGTACGACACGAAGATCGGCTACTGCCAGGGACTGGGTTTTGTCGTTGGTCCCTTGCTGATGCACATGACGGATGCAGAGGCGTTCTGCGTACTTGTTAGGTATGTATATAAGCAAGCTGCAGCGTGCACTTCGGAGCTAACCGGCGCTCAGGCTGATGGACCATTACGACTTGCGGACCTGCTACCTTCCTGATCTCTCCGGGCTTCATCTGCGCGTCTACCAATTCCAGAATTTGTTGGCTCGCCTGCGACCTGGCTTGTTCGCACACCTTGAGATGCTGCATGTTGAACCGGTCTACGTATCGCAATGGTTCTTGTCTTTCTTCGCAGTCGCGTGCCCGCTGCCCATGCTTCTCCGAATCTACGACGTTATCTTCCTGGAGGGTGCCTGTGAGACATTGATGCGGGTTGCTCTCTCTCTGATGACGCGGAATGAGAAGAAAATTATGGCATGCGCAGAATTCGAAGATGTCATGCAATTGCTGCTTTCGAGGAGTCTGTGGGACACGTAAGTTATCAGTCAAGCCACTTACGAATTGATCTAATTCCTATAGGTATGCCTGCCATGCGGATGACTTCGTGAACGACTTTGTGTCTCTCACGTCGCTTGTCACAAAGGAAAGCCTCCAGGCTCTGGAAGCTAGCTATAACCAATCGCAGGGAGTTCCAACCGGCATCTCGTTCCCCCAGATGCAGGCAGCAGCTTCTCGATTCCTCGGGCGACTCTGGGCTGGATCTAACTCACACAATTCCGTCAAGTCCATCAGTCTCAATCCCAACAGTGCGAGCGCGTCCAACCTGGCCAGCATCCGGCGGTCAACTTCCAAACAGAGCATGACATCAACCCTCAATTCTGTGGAGTCAGCCTCGGACGCCAGCACCGCACCGACGGAATTGTCGACAGACGTACAAAAGCCACGTGCAAAATCAGCCATATCCCAGCACAAGGATCGCGACCTCCACACCCAAATCGAGGATCTCCTCATGGCTCTCAGCGACCTTCAACGCCAACACGCCGACCTCACGCGAGAACTGCAGCAAGAACGGGAGGAGCGCGAGGAAGACCAAGTCCTTGCCAAGTCAATGCTGCAATACATCAAAGAGACATCCGAAGAGCCACCGATGGATTTAGTCCACAAAGCCGACGCGAGATTCGCCATGGTCGAAACGCACAGGGTCGTCTCGACCGACCAAACCAAGCACCAACTGCGTGACGACCTCAACCGGTACAAGGAGATGCATGAACTAGAATCAAACCGATGCAAGAGCTTGACGCGCCGGATTGATGAGCACGAGAAAGAAAACGCATCCCTTCGAGAACAACTCCGTGAAGCGCGAGGCCGTATTCAAGACAGCTACCGTGAGCGCCAGCGGCTAGAGCGGATGGTCCGGGAGCTACGCACGGTCAAAACCAAGACCCGGAATTCTGACACGGCGCCGTCCGAGACCTACGGCTCCCCAACCAGCGATACCAGCGAAGGCTACACCAGCACCGGTCTCCGAGAACTGAAACTTGTCCGCACCAACTCACAAAAGAGCCAAAAGAGTACTACAAATTCGACGACATTTACCAAACGATCCAGCAGCCTGGGACTGCAATCCGTCCTTGCCACCGAAAACAACAAACCGGCAGCGGAGGAATCCCTGCTGCTTGAACTAGTTAATGCAAAAACGGCAGAAGCAGTCGCACGTCAGGAACTTGAGGAAGTCAAAGGCAAACTGGACTCGATGCGGAAGGTCATGGCCCGGAACGGAATCATCCCTGAAGGTCGACATTCATTCCTGGGCAGGCCACCATCCATTGCCAAGGCGCCGACAGAGCCAGCATCAAATGGTGGCGGACTGTTTAGTGGATGGGGAAGACGTGCTGTATCCACCAGCAATGAGTCTTACGAGGGACGGTAGACAAGCCAGAGCAAACGTACATGAAAAGGCTGGCTGGTCTACGTCTCTTGCAATTTCCTTGTATCACTTTATTTCTTCATTTTGTCATATTTTCTGGTTGGAGTTCACCACAGCGGATGCATGTATGCCTAGACGGGATAAGATGGTGTTTAGATTGTATGATATCCCACCTGTACAGATAAACCAGTACAAACATAATAAGAATAGTGAAGAATAGACAATAAACCAAAGCCCTCCTATCTATACCAATAAACCCATAAACCCACCCAACTTCACAAGATAATCCAAAACTAATCTACCAAGCCCTCCCCACCCCCCTCCTCTTCAACTCCTCCTGAAACACCGAATACGAATCAAACATCCCGGACTCCTGAAAATACCTCTCATAATGCGCCACCATCTCCGCCAACTTGTCCGGCATCTTCTCCGCCAGATCATCCACCTCCCCCAAATCCCTCTCCAGATCATACAACTCCCACTTCCCCTCTCCCCTCGGCGGCGGCAAATACAGCGCTTTCCACTTCCCCACCCTGACAGCCGCAATCCCCAGCTGTTCCCACCCCACCACATCCTCATGATAGATATCGACATCATCACCATTCTTATCAGATTCCAACAACGGCCGCCAGGAATGTCCGCGCACGGGGGCTACTTCCCTCCCGCGGAAAATCGGCCCGGGGAGATTGATCCCCGCTAGATCGAGCACCGTAGGGAGAATGTCCATGACCGTGGTGAAGGTGTTGGTGATAGTTCCTGGGTTCATACCAGTGTTTGTTAGGGGCGGATAGCGAACGATACACGGACATCTGATACCACCCTCCGTGGTGTAGGATTTCAGGGCTCGACAGGGTGCAGTAGCCGCCGAGGCCCATTGGGGACCGTACCAGATGAAGGAGTTATGGTTCCCCAAGTTCTCGAGCGAGTTATCGTAGTATTTGTCGATGACATCTCCCAAAGTAGCGCCCGCTAGGACGGGAATGGCTTCGAGGAGCTGCCCCTCTGCGCCGTTATCGGACATGAATACTACGAAGGTATTGTCCCATTCGTCTATGGATTGGAGGTAATCTCGCACGCGGCCGATGTTCACGTCCATGAGATCGACCATTGCGGCGTAGATTTCCATGGCGCGGGAAGACTTTGCTTTTTCGTCCGGGGGGAGGTCGTCCCATGGGGTTGTGTTGAGGGTGATGATGGGTGCTGGGTCGACGTCTGCGGGCACGAGACCGTTCTTGATTAGGCTGTGGAGACGGCGGGTGCGGAGGGCGAGAGGGCCGTCGTCGTATTGGCCGTGGTATTTTTTGATGGTTTCCCGGGGTGCTTGGAGGGGCCAGTGGGGGGCTGTGAAGGGGAGGTAGGCGAAGAAGGGTTGGGAGGTTTGCTCGGGGGTGCGGTTTTGGAGGATGGAGAGGAGGTTGGAGGTGAATGTGTTGGAGGAGTAGAAGTCGGTGGGGAGGTCGGTGTCGCCGTTGAGGAATTGGTCGTCGCGCATCCAGAGGTTTTGTTTGTCGCCCTTGATGATGACTCGGGGTTTTTCGGTCGTGTCGTAGAGTTGGGGCTCGTGGTTGTAGTGGTTGCCTGCGCCGGGCAGGAGGGTGAAGTTTTGGTTGAAGCCGCGGGAGCAGGGCGCTACGTCTTTGGTTAGGCCTAGGTGCCTGTGTTGGTTGTGAGGTTAGTGATGTGTGATGCTGGAGGGGATGAGGTAGGGTACGGTAGGGTAGGGTTGGTGTACCATTTCCCGGACATGCAGGTGAAGTAGCCGTTGTCTTGTAGGATCTCGGGCAGGGCTGCGACTTTGTAGTTCAAGTAGCCCTCGTATCCGGATTTGCCGTCGAAGATGTGTGGGAATCGGTTTCTTCTCTCTGCCATGACGCCGAGTCCTGCGATGTGTGCATCTGTGCCTGAGAGGAGCATCGCCCGGGTGGGTGAGCAGGAAGCCGCAGTGTGGAAGTCTGTCATGCGAATGCCTTCCATTGCAAGACGGTGCAGATTGGGCGTGTCGATTTCTCCCCCGAAGGGAGAGGTGTCGCTGAAGCCAAGGTCATCGGCGACGATGATGAGGAAGTTTGGGCGTTTCGGTGCGGTCATGGTGGTGATGGTGTGGTGAGGATGGGATTTCTGGGGCTTGATGCAACCACACATGGGATTCCCATGAGGTGTTTGATAGCTTTATATTTATCTGATAAACATTCGGACATATTGTTTGATTCTCCGCTACTTTGACGATATTTTGAAAGTGGCAGGTGATATTATTGGGTGGTTTCAAAACAATATGATTGTTAGCTTAGCCGCTAACGCTTGGACGGGACAATTAGCGATGGTATCATCACTCCGCACGATGGCTTCATCCACCTCCATTGATTTCCTACCATTCTCTCCACTGTGTGATGGATAATATTTTTAGCGTCCGGTACTCGGTCAGGCTACGGCTGTCGGTCATTTAGCGTAGGATTCATCGAACAGGACAGAGAGCGCCACTCCCCTCAAGACGCCTCTAGAGCGATATGGCAACATCGCCCCAGAATGTCGCGATACCTCAAGAATTACTATAAAGAAAGTCCGAGAGCGCGAGATGGCTGGGTTATGTGTATCTGGAACGGACTATGATCATTCTGTAGCTCATCTGAGCGGAAGACACCTTTAATTGTGTAGAGATACACTCGATCTCTCATAAGTTTGTGTACTTTGTATAAGAAACATGGAAAGCTTGAGGAACTTACGAAGTATGCGCCATGCTTTCACCTGGAATATGTTGATAGCATACGCTATCATTGCCACCAGTGTCTTTAGCTATGGCTTTGACGACGCTGTTTACTCGACCATCCAGACAATGGACTGTACGTATTGCAATCCACCCATCTTCTTCTTTGCATACAAGTTCTCTGTTGACTTCTCCAAGCTTTCGAAAAGCAATTCGGCACTTATGATAGCTCCACTGGGGAGTATGGATTCAGCACTCAGCATTTGGCCTTCCTCAATTCTCTTGGCCTGCCTGCAAAAGCAGCTGGCACATTCATCGGATGGGCGATTGGAGAATACTATGGACGTCGAACCTGCTTTATAGGCATGCAGCTGATGTGCATCATCGGTATCTCCGTCAGTTACAGCGCGACGACTTTCGGTCAGATCCTTGCCGGACGGATGATAGTACAATGTTTCATTGGCTGGGAGGACTGGCTTGTGCCCATGTTCCTCGGTGAGATCTGTCCTACTGTGGTTCGCGGGGCGACAGTGGTGGTATACGTCTTTGCCCACATTTTTGGCTCGTTTATATGTGCTATCATCACGTATGAAACGGCCAAGTTGGAGGGAAACGCTGCTTGGAAAATCCCGATCGGGGTGATGTGGACGTTCCCCTGCTTCATCTTGCTTTGCAGTTGGCTTGTCCCAGAGAGCCCTCGGTGGCTTGTCCGGAAGAACAAGATTCAGGCGGCGACGAAACAGCTCGAATACCTTAACAAGGGGAAGGATGTAGATGTTGCTGGTGAAGTGGCGTTTTTGCAAGCAGCCGTCGAGGCAAACGCGCAGACGAAAGGCTCCTGGGCTGAACTTCTCCAGGGAACCAACCGAGTAAGTCATTCCTTCCGTACATGCCCTGACTTACGTGCGAGTGGTACTGACATCTCTAAGAGAAGGACAATGATTGCAGTCATGACCGCGGCTTTCAATCAATTGACTGGACAATCCTTCGTCAGCCAGTATGGCAGTCTGTTCGTCAAATCCCTAAAAGTCATGAACCCGTTCGCCTTCACGCTAGGATCCCGAGGCATCTCGACCGTGGGCCCTCTAGTTACCTTCTCCTTAGTTGACACAACTGGAAGACGGCCCATATATCTGATCGGCGGTACTATGACCACCGCCCTACTCATGATCTGTGGTGGACTAGGAACAGGCACCATAACCGACGGCAAAAAGCGTGGAGTTTGTGGAGTGCTCATGATGTACGGGCTGTTTTACATCATGTCTTTCGGATCTATGTATGCCCCCTTACCGCGACTAGCCTCAAATTCCGTTAATAAGGCATGTGCTGACCACTGACTTACACTCATAGTTCTGTCATTACGGGCGCAGAAACTCCCCATCTGCGACTACGCGATAAGACCTCGGTTGTTGCCTGGCTTATCCGGATTGTTTGCGACTTTGCAGTCTCCTACTCTCTTCCCTACCTACTCGATGCCCCGTATGCCGATCTCCAGTCCAAGGTTGGCTTTATCTATGGCTCCCTTGCAGCCGTGGGGGTGGCTTGCGGATACTTCTTCCTCCCCGAGCTCACCGGACGCTCACTGGAGGAGCTGGAGGATATGTGGCAGCGGCGCATCCCTGCGCGCAAGTTTGCTGGTACGTATTTGCCCCAGCTTAGTGAATGTTTCAAGCGAGCTAACGGATGAGCGCAGACTGGGAATCAGATCGCACCGGAAGTATCGGAGCCAAGGTCACCGAGATGGAGGGTGAGACAGAGGATGCTGAGAAGGCCAAAGGAGGCCTATCTCGAGTATATATTAATAAGGCATAGATGAGTATCCAATCATTTCAGATCATTCTTCAATAGTAGCATGTGATTCGAGTAAAAGAAGAGCGAATTGCATTTTTGCTTTTTAGTAGTATAAGCGGGGGTGTCACGGGTTAGCGGCAATCAAGTCCATTCCATCCTTGCTGGTTCCCGAGCGATCGCTGCTCCACCTTTCGAGCTTTCCGTGGATAGAAGAAGCCACAACTCAAACGCAGCTTCTGTATTCTCTACTTAGTATCAACAACCATCACAATAACAGTACCATGGCTTTTACCACCGAGGTGGAGTTTGACCAGGTAAGCCAATTCACCCGTTTGCGACCGTGTCAACATCCATCCTGGCTAACAAGGGATAGGCATATGCCAGCGTCCGAGCCGCTTTCGCCTCGGGTCGCACCAAGAGCAAAGATTGGAGACGCCATCAGCTTAAGAGAGCTTGGTGGATGGTCGAGGACAACAAGGACCGCATCCTTGACGCCCTTCGTGCCGACTTGAACAAACATCCTTTGGAGGCTATGCTGGGGGAAATTACGGGCCTTCAAAATGACATTCTGCGTACCCTTGACAAGCTTGACGAGTGGACAAAGGATGAGAAGCCCACAAGATGGGATCCCATCAACTTTTTGGGCGGAACTGTAGTCCGTCAAGAGCCATTGGGCGTGTCATTGATTATTGGCGCTTGGAACTTCCCTTTCATGCTGATTTTACAACCCTTGGTCGCTGCTATTGCCGCTGGCTGTGCGGTGGTCCTGAAGCCGTCCGACGTTGCACAAGCCTCCCAGGATCTCCTGATGGAGATCGTCCCCATGTACATGGATCGCGACGCTATTACTTGCGTCAGTGCAGGGCCGTCGGAAATGAAGCATATTCTTGAAAGTCGCTTCGATCACATCTTCTACACCGGCTCTGCAAATGTTGCCAAGATCATCTATGCTGCTGCTGCCAAACATTTGACCCCCGTCACTTTGGAACTGGGGGGTCAAGGGCCTGCAATTGTTGCCCCATCTGCGAATATCGATCTCGCGGCAAAACACATTGCTTGGGCTAAGTTTTCGAATGCTGGACAGGTACGACTTTTCCCCTAAATTAGAATGACTCACTTCATCGGCCCTAATGTGGACTCCAGATATGCGTTAACGTGAATCACGTCCTCATTGACCCTAGCATACGTGAAGCTTTTGTGACGAGACTGATCCATTACTTTGACGAGTTCACTGGCGGTCGAGATAACAAGCCAGACTACTACAGTCGCATCATCAACGAGCGAAATTTCGATCGTCTCGAGTCTCTTCTCGATAGAACATCCGGTAAGGTCATTCACGGCGGCATTCGCGACCGTCAAAATCGATACTTCGGACCTACCATTGTTGTGGACGTTAGTCCCGACGATCCTCTACTGTCTGAAGAGCTCTTCGGCCCCATCCTGCCTATCATTGACGCGGACCTTGATACCGCTATCTCTTTCACTCGCAGTATTGAGCACCCATTAGCTCTTTACGCCTTCACCAACATCGAGTCTGAAAAGAAACGCATTCAGAATGAGACTTCTTCTGGTGGTGTGACGTTTAATGACTGTCTTCTCCATGCCGCTGCTCTTGATGCACCTTTTGGTGGTGTGGGGAACTCGGGTATTGGTTCCTACCATGGGAAGTACGGGATACTTGCTTTCTCGCATCTTCGCACATATACGAATGCTATTCCAACGTGGATGGAGGGGGCTATGGGCGCGAGGTACCCTCCTTATTCTGATACAAATATGAGGAAGCTATCACCGCCTGCCAAGGCACCTTTTGACCGAGAAGGGAACGACACAACTTCTCGCAGCAAAGTTTTGAGTGCTGCGGCCACTCTGGCAGTTCTTGGTATTTCAGTCTGGATGTTTGGAGCGAGAGAGAAGCTCCCGCCTTATGGAAGGAACTGGTTGAGGAAGTGACGCTGTGTATTTGATGTATCTATTTTAATTGAAGCACAATACATGAGACTTTGAGGAACCTGTTCTGTTCGTTCTAAATTTGTGCCGCATATTGACGTATGTCTAGACTCCTTGATGTTAGATGCCTCCCCTTTTGATGACATTTGCTACACCTCACCACGTAGCGGATCTATTTATAACACCGTGACTCCTTTGTGACTCGACTTAAGTCATGTATCAAGTCTAAGGATCAATATGAAGTCAATATCAAGTCTAAGGATAAACATGAAGTCAATAAGCGTGACCACCCAACGACTATAAATTGCCCCTTGAGCCCCCGGCCTTTCTTCCCCAGACTTCTCCTCCTACAACTCCCCAGTCTACCATACATTCACCTACCTTCACCTACCTTTCATACTATTCTGCTCTCTTTCCTACTCCTCATGTCTGATTCTACCGTTTTCATTCCTACTTCTGTCTTTCTACCTCTTCTATCTTCTTTCTCACCTTCATCCTTCTCTATCTTCTTCTACGACTGCTGGCTCGTTGTCTACAGCAACTGAGCTGTCAGGTAAGTCGCCCTGCCCCCAGTCGACCCAAGCCAGGTCAAGCCCTGGGGGCTTGTGAACCACATCTTACCACACCTGCCTCAACCTACCTCATCTACCTCGTCTACCTCACCTGCCACCACCTGCCCTACCCTGTCCTGCCCTACCCTGTCCTGCCCTGCCCTGTCCTCCCTCACCTACCTCACCTTGCCTACCTGCCTTGTCTTGCCCTACCTACCTACCGACCTGCCTACTTCACCTCATCTACCTCGCCTCACCTTTCCTGTCTGCCCCTGTCTCAACCTACCTCACCTGTCTGCCTCAACCTGCCCTATCCTGCCCTGTCCTGTCCTGTCCTGTCCTATCCTGCCCTGTCCTGTCCTGTCTCCCCTTCCCCACCTACCTACCTACCTACCTACCTTCCTACCTACCTACCTACCTACCCATCTCAACTTTCCCTGCCCTGCCCTGCCTCACCTCCTACCCCATCTACCTCATCTACCTCTTCTACCTCGACTACCTCAACCTACCCTATCCTGTCCTGTCCTGCCCTCCCTTTTCTACCTACCTAACTACCCATCTTAACCTTCCCTGCCTTGTCCTGCCTCACCTCACCTCACCTCACCTCACCTTGCCTACCTTACCTGCCTGCCTGCTCCAACCTCTCCTGTCCTGTCCTGTTTGCCCTGCCTCATCTATCTCACCTACCTCATCTACCTCACCTACCTCATCTACCTCACCTACCCCATCTACCTCACCTTGCCTACCTCACCTGCCACTCCTGCCTCAGTATACAATACTAATATATCAGGTAAGTCCTCCTGCCCCAGTCGACCCAGGCCATGTCAAGCCCTGGGGGCTTGTGAGCAATACCTGCCTCTCCTACATCAACCTACCTCACCTACATCGACCCGACTTGCCTACATCTACCTGCCAACCTGCCAACCTGCCAACCTGACCTACCTGACCTACCTGACCTACCTGACCTACCTGACCTACCTGACCTACCTGACCTACCTGACCTACCTGACCTACCTGACCTACCTGACCTACCTGACCTACCTGACCTACCTGACCTACCTGACCTACCTGACCTACCTGACCTGCCTGCCTGACCTACCTGCCTGCCTGCATCTCTCTCTGCCTGCCTCTCTCTCTGCCTGCCTCTCTCTGCCTCTCTCTGCCTCTCTCTGCCTCTCTCTGCCTCTCTCTGCCTGCCTCTGCCTGCCTCTGCCTACCTCTGCCCTACCCACCCAACCGGGGGCTGCCACAGCAGCTAGCCGCGCAGCATGACAACGTTCCCGCAAACGTCCGCCTCACCCTGCCGCCCCTCGGTATACAAAAACAGATTTTTGCTCCTGCCCCCCTACGGGCCATAAGGGAGTCCACCGGGGGTGCGTGACGGTGCACAATGCCGTCCAGGTATAGGTAGTTGCCTCGGCACACACCCGTGCGAGCCCACTATACCTCCACCCGGTGTTTAGCGAGTACCTTCTCTCATTATGAGATGACAGGGAATGCAAGTACATAGAAAAAGCCGCACACTTGACTAGCTGGCTTAGTCCGCTGGTCAAGTACAAGTTGTTTTGAGCCAGCGCTGTAATAGCGCCGAAAACAAAACAAAGTTCTCACCCATGTAGAAATACATGGCGTTGAGACGCCTGGTTGTGCGGGCCAGGTCCTCCAGCGATTGAAGCTCACACCTCATCGTGGTGCTGGAGTCTAGTAGCTTGTCCTCTTGGGGGGAACCCTTGGGGGGTGGGTGAAGCTAAGATGAGCTTGGTAGGTAGGTAGATAGATAGATATGTAATAATAAGAGAAGAAGAAGAAGAAGTTGAACATGATATTTATTGTTACTGTAGTACGTATGATCAGTGTATAGTAATGAAACTTCACCATCATAATTATTGTCTATCAAATGAACACCAGACCAAGCAGTGATAAAAGTAATATTACTTGAATAGAACCACTACCCCCTACTCTACCACTTAGTCACAAGAAACATGTATATCACAGACCACGGCTCAGGTTCGACAGATCTCTCGAGTCATAGTATTTTCCCAACAACCACCAACCCCAAAACACCCCTTATTTCCTCCCCCCCCAAAGAGATAGATTATCCCTTCAACGGATCATGCCCCCAATTCTTCAACGACTTATAACTCTTACTATCGGTATTCTGCTTCGCCGTCTCCTCCTGCGCCAAATGCCGTTTACAGTACGACACTACCTTGCGCATATGATCGACGTCTTCGTCGGAGTACCCCGATGGGTCTTTGGACGGGTTGTGTTCCAGGATGGAGACGATTTTGCGGCCGCTGTCATACCCAAAAGTTATTAACATATAGTTAGCTTGAATAAAACCAAGGGGATATGAGATGTAATGATTTGGTTTAGGTAATAGTAGTAGTGAAGAAGGGATGGAGGTGATGGCATGCCTTTCATGTCCAATCGTCTCCCCCGACGAGGACGACTCATTCGTCCAGCCTGAGGACTGCGACTGGGTGCCTTTGAGCCAGTCGCGGAGTTCGTTGGGCGTCATGTTGACGAGGGAGTTGAATTCGCTGTCAGCATTATTAGTATAGGGTTTAGGTGGAAGGGGTTGTTTTGGGAAGGGTGAAAGTACTCGATGACGGTGTCTTTGGATTTGACCATTTTGGTGAGGATTTTCTGTTCTGTCCTGTTCTGTGGTATGATAAATTGTGAGATAGTGAAGATTTGGGGGTAGTTAAGAGGAGGTTGAGAGGACTAGTCTGGCTGTGTAGGTGAGGTGAGATTTCCTGACGTCATGTTTCCGGGAACAGATACTTCGTCATCGTTCAACTTTTGGGTGGAGTGGTTGGAGAGATAAAGAGGATTTGTTGTCTACTTGGTAGAGAATAAGGTTCGGGAAGGTTATTCTTGTTCTTGGTTCTCGAGGTGGATGGGTTTGTTGTTCATTCAGTCATGGCGTGCGATAAATCGAAGAAAATAATCACATTGGTATCGATATTAATCACATTGGTATCGATATTATTAAAAGACAGATATAAGACGTTCGCATCCAACTCCAGCAGTCTGCCACCCAAGTCTATACCAAGGAAAACATCACAATGGCTTAAGGGCCTGCACTGAGAGCTCGCCCGCATTTCTGTATCTGCTTGTAGACCGGCTCCTTGGCGAGATATTCCTCGGTTGCATCCACGATCGTGTCGATTTCATCAATGCCATCGAGGGAAATATCCGCTAATCCGTTGGGTACATCGAATCGGAATAGCCGATTCTCGTCATCCAGTTCCGTATGCTCACGGAGGAACTTGTTCATGTCCACCTCGGTGTCGATGGAATCAGTGCGCGATGACTTCAATAAGCCGAACATCGCTTTGCTGGATCTCTTGATTGAAGGAACACCGGTACCGATGGACACCATGCATCGGATTTGAGTGTCCAATGAGCCGGATGGCCATATTCCTCTCGCCTCTATCCAGACTTCTCGCACCGGATTGTTAGCGTCTGTGTTGCTGTTGTAGAATCGCCGTCCGCTTGGTCCGATAGGGACGGGATCGAAGAGCTGCTCTGTGGAGAAGCAGGCTCTGCCAGCCTGCCATACTTTGGCGGTCTTGTACAGCTCGTTGGAGCAGTACTTGCTCGGATAGCTTGTCAAGGGTGCTAGATTCCGTTTTGAACCGTCGTCGGTCACACAAACGTAACTGTGCCGATTAGAAGGCAGTTTCTAAATTAATAAGATAGACTCACACTTTGCATGAAGATGCTGGCTCTCTAAGAAGTATGTCATCTTCATAGCCAAGCTCATGAAGAATCGCCTTCATGGCAGTTTCGATCCTGCGACCGTCATATTTCGATTGTCTGCGCAAGTTGCCTCCCACTGGCAGAAGTCGCTTTCGAGCAAATACGTGGTTTGACAGTCTTTTGTATGCGTTGATGCACTGATCAATGTCCATCTCCAATCGACCAAGCATAATGGCTATCAATCTATGATATGGAGCATTAGTAATGAAACCCCGATCGGGACGATTTGTGCACCATAGAATGCTTACCCGCCTGATCCCGAGCCTCCTATCAAATCAAAGTATTCGCATGGCTTTGGTGTGTTGTCTGGATCAATAGATTCCATGATATGCTTCAGGATGTAAAGGGAGGATAATCCGCGGACACCCCCGCCATCGAGGCTGAGGAGACTGATGTTCCTCACCATGGTGTAAACGGTAATGATGAACTTCAAGATGAGCTCAGAAACCAACGTGGTTCAGCCACCATGAGCCACGGATCCCGATACTATTTATATGCCATCAGATTTGACACCGAACACTGCCTATGGAATCTTCGCCTCGAGAGAATGACGCAATCCGTCAACGGCTGATCGGGCTCAAAGCATTATCGAGGCTGGTATCAGTGCAGCCAGTGAAGACGGTTCATGAATTAATTCCGGCCCGACGTATTGATCGACATTGTCAATGCGGATTCTAAGCAACAGCAAATGAGATCGATGGCTCGCTTCTTTGGGCACGTTGGAGCGGACGGCTAGTGCGCACTCACCGTCTTTTCCAGGCCCCATTCGATGCAGCTCGTTTTATCATAGTGGGGGAGCATGTCGGGCTGGGATTTAACTTCAAGCAGCCACAGTTCATAGGCGGGGTGACAGCCACGTAGTCAGAGCTTAGCGCCGTCATCCTTGGGTGAAGCAACCAGCGGCCCATGCTCATTGGGACTTCGGGGGAGATTATGATGGTGCCTAAAGTTGATCATTGCATCGAGAAGATATTTGCATTAGCTTTATCTGGTTGATATAGCCCTTGCATTATCTTCTGTTAGAGATAGAGAATGATTGTCATGGATGCATGGAGAGTGGGGAAACCGAGAAGGCCTCAATTCAGTTCATCCCAAAGTCATCGGACACTTTATCGACACCTGAGGCATGAAAGTACCAAGAACACACTAGTGCCAACGATGGCGAAGACCACCACTATTGAGGCATTATACTCGGTCTGCACAAGGTGCGGACGGCTTCTAAGGAAGACCCTCGAAGGAAATACATACTCTCCCCTTCGAAGATTGACTGCACCCTCAAGATCTGGGAATTGATACAAAAATTCATAACCTGTGCCTAAACTAACAGGTCGGGTATTGGAAGGAAGCCTTGCGGGCTTCTCATGCGTCTCGCTTACAATAGACCTCGTGTTCGCGTGGACCGATCATCCGTCTGTGAAACATATTCTCGAGTGTGACTACACCCCTAACGCATCTTACATGTGTACACCCAGTTGTGTCATTTGCTGTCAAAAGAGTCCAACATAACATGGACGCTAGGCTGCAAGAGTCATGCCTAAGGCAGCGTGTAGCCGCCATCAATCACGAGGTTGGCTCCAGTCATATAGCTCGAGGCATCGGAAGCGCAAAAAACATAGGCCTGAAACATTAGCAACTTTTCACCGTTTCGGATAAAGAAGGTAGTGAACAGTCACAAGGCAGATGCTAACTTACTCCTTTGAGTTCGTAGGCATCAGCCATTCGCTTAGCCGGCACCATGTCGTTCCATTTCTCGCGCCATTCCAGAGGGTGGATATCGAGGATTTCCGTGGCTATGAACCCCGGGGAAACGCAGTTGACCCGGCAAAAGTCAACCCATTCAACAGACAGACATTTTGCCATCTGCACGACCCCGGCTTTGGAGGCATTGTACTGGACCATGCTGATTAGTCCACACCTTAGATTCGAAACAGAATGCAACATACCGCTGCCTGCTTCTGAGGCACATTCACCAATGTTGCACTGACAGAGGCCGTGAAGATGACGTTTCCATGTCCTTGTTGCTTGAAGATCCGAGAAGCCGCCTGCGCGCTATAAAACGCGCCATCCAGATTCACTTTCATGATGTCACGCCATTGTTCCGTGGTGTAGTCTTCCGCCGCGATATTGGAAGTGACCCCCGAATTCACGACGATAATATCGAGCTTGCCAAAGTCTGAAGCGATCTGTTGGATTACCCTTTCGATATCCTCCTGATTTCCAACATCCGCCTTATAGGCAGCTGATTTCACGTTATTCTGGGCACCGACCTCTTCGGCAATGGCCTCTGCCGCCTTAGAAGAGTTGTAGATCAGGGCCACCTGCGATAGTCAGCACAAGGCTGCTTGGTAGAACGCTTCATCTTACGTTGGCACCAGCTTCTGCGAGGGCCCTCGAAACTTCGAGTCCAATACCCCGGGCACCGCCTGCGATCAGTTAGAAGCTGCTAATGTTGCTCTCCGGGGAAGGTACCTGTAATGGCAGCAACCTTGCCGGTGAGGTCAAAGGCCTTCAGGACGTGCTTGTTCTCGGGCTTAGAAAGAACCATGGTGGCTGTATGACTGAACAATTGTTGAGATTATGCTCATGCAACATAGCGAGTTTTGTGTCAGTGAAGTACTCTGTGCGACGTAGGGAACCCCGCAATAGACCCCCGCAGCGGAGGTCCTCCGAGACTGGCACGTGGTAGTGATTTGTCTGAGCGCGCCTCATCTGAAGTATCACGTTCACGCGCTCAGATAGAAGATCTCACAATTCATAGAGATAGCTATCATCCACGAAATTAGCCTGATGAATAAGACTGTGTGCCGATAGTTGTTTGTGCTTCTCAACTGCATCCCCAGAAAACCGTAACGAATCAAGCGCCATCGCCGCTCCAAAATGCCCATCACGCGTCTCGTAGGCTCCAATCAATAGACTGAGGTCTGAGATCATCCGCTGAGCATGAGCAGACGATACAAATTTTTCCTTGATAAAAGCTAGGCATTCTGCAGCTTTAGAAACGGCGCATTCTGATGTTAGCTGCGGCCGCACGTTTGGCATATGAGCGAGAAAGAGATTGAGACGTGCAGCCTGATAAGCGCATCTCGCAATATCGAATGAGAAGAGGACCTGGAGATTCATCTTTCGAACCTTCTTAATAGATTCTACTATCCAGTCACTGTGTTCCTGACATATTTCCTGGGCTTGGCTAGCATAGGTGCTTGATCCCAAGGGACGTAATACCACATCAGGGGCCGCATTGGGATGCCCGAGAAGGAAGAGGCGAAACAGGTCACAGTGTGCCTGACGCCAAGCGAGTTGGATCTCTAGAGATCTCACAACCCACCGGAAGTTTGGCTGGATTATGGTTTCAGTGGCCGAAGAACCCACAACGGACGCTATTTTCTTCTGAAGCTGAGTGAGGTTCATTTGGAATCCTTGCACGATACCCTGAAACTCTTTGAGAGGCTGCTCCAGCAGGGCCAACTGCCTGGTGAAGCGCATGATATCTCTGCGCACTCTGGAAATACGCAGTATCAGCTCCAGCATGCTGTAGTGAGCTTTGTCTTCAACCCGAGCGGTGGAAGGGCCCAGTATGGTGTCGGGATCCGTTGAGCCAAATTCCTCTTCACGACACGGATATTGCTGGTATATCTCTTCATAATTTATCGTGCTGTAGCCGGGAAGCCCTACAGAAAAGTAACCATCTAGTAGTGCCATCGTCCAAGCAGCTCTCCGTCGAATTTCCTGAGTGACAAAGCTGAGGTGTGGGCTTTCATGCTTCAGCTGGAGAGCAGTCACATGGCGGCTCGCAATGGAAGCCATCATGAAGGCCCTTTCGAACCGGCCAACTTCGGCATGGTACTGGATAATCAAGAAGAGTGCCTGCAATCTGAATATTGAAGGCGTCTCGATCATGTCCCAGATCCTCTTTTCCGAAAGTTCGATCAATGACACGCTTTCGGAAGGCTGAGACCCAGCTGGTCTGCACCTTAGTTTGACCAAGGCGCACATAGATAACACGAGACTTGGCTCGAGCGTTCTAGCAGCACACATTCGCCGAATTGAGGGTTCGTGAAGGAAGCTGTAGGAAGGCAAGGGATACAGGTGCAAGAAATAGTCATCAAGGACTCCATCTAACTCCGCTCCGTCCTTTACAGGGTAAACTCTGATAGAAATCAGCGGCGCGATCAACTATAAAACGCTCAGAACGACCGTCATACAGTCCTTGCTGCAGCTCATTCAGGGAGACCAAGCGAGTGGAAGACTTGACTGTCAATCTTCCATCTCGATCCTGAGATAATTGGCGAGCTCCTCTAAAGGCTGGATATTGGCATTCCTGATGGCGTCGGTGACAGTTATTGCACTGTGGCGTCTCACCTGAACATCGGGCTTTTTGAAGACGGCAATAGATGCACGCCCGAGTTCCACGACGTCTTCCGGGATGGCCACCGTCATGCCTCGGGCGCCCGGGGGATGGGTTATCCCTCTCATAGGAGCATGCATGCTTTAGCCTCTCGCAATTCCCACAAGTGTACTTTTTACGGTCGCAGCGAACCTAAAATGTCTTAATGACTAAGAATAGATGCGGGGTGAAAAGCAAACGCATCAAATGGAGGCTTACCTTGCGCGACCGACACTGAGAGCATGGAGGTGCAGTTTCCCGACCATGGTTATCCATGTGCGCTCACAATGTGTATCATCAAACACGCGATCGGGATATTTGTAAATTAATAAAATACTAGCACTAGCTGGATTTACTTACATTCGACGATTGTCCAGCTTGTATATCAACGTGGACGCTATTGCGCCTTAGAGGCGTGCGATGGCGTCAGCCCGATGTACCTGCAGCCGACGGATAGCAGGTTGACAAACTCCGATCGTAGTTCCCATACTAATCTCCGTAGGCTTGCAGGCCTGGCGCATACTATAGTGCAGGTAACACAGCAGAAACTGAAACTACTGGTTACATGTGAGATGTATTCTCCGATGAACCACGATGCCGACCGTAAGACACGGGAGCCTTTCCGAGCCGCTCGTCGTGATGACTGAACTTGGAGCTGTGCCCGGTCTCATCACTAGCATCTCTTTCCTTATAGTCGTAGTAAGAAACATGGCTGTTCCTTCCCAAGCAGATCTCGAGCTATGAGCATCACTACATGAGTATAATGACATTGTGACAGGTATGTCCTTCGACTCGTGTGCACGAGAGGATGCTCAAATCTCAGCAGACTTGCCCTGGAAACTGAGCGCCGCCGATTACTTCATGATTGTGTTGCTGTGCGCCTGATTCCGACCTTTGAAAAGCGTCATAAGCACAGGTCTCTTCAAAGAAGGAAGTTCGGCTACCGAATGCAACAGAGGCCAAGGTAAGGGCTTAAATTATACTTCACTTGAACAGGGTGTTTCACCCGGTTGTTCCACGTAGACTGAGACCAGTACGAGTAATCCATACCGAAACTATGCGGATGGGGTATAGTCTACATCAATGCGTCCTCCCACAATATTCGCATTCACTGCTCACTGATGAGCCCAGGCTGCCGAGAGAAGGCATAACCAGTCTTTTCAAAGACGGAGAAGACTCTGACCAGAGACAGGCATAAGCCATTGTGGGCATCAGGAGTCATGGGAACACCGGGGAGTCGGTGGGATCCATGCGGACATTGGACAAAGAACACGGAGGTTATTTTCGAGGAAAAGCCATGCGTGATTAACGAGCAACTAACGATTCTCGCAAAGGTGTGGACGGAAGGAGGAGGAGAAGGGCTGGATAATCGGCCGAGCTCGGCATCGCGGCTTCCGTTTGTAGATGTTGGCGAACTGCAACGTTCTCAAAAGACATCCATCACAATTCACTCCAACCAAGTCATTTGCCTCTACCTTCATGTTTGCAGGGTATTACCTCACGTACTTTCTCGGTTTTCAGTCGTTGCATCCTCGTGATGTCTCATCTGCTGCAATGTGAAGATTGCCTGCCACAGTACCTACCAATCAAGCACAAGTTTCTCGAATGGTTTAGGCGACATCGTGATCGCAAAACACACATTCTGTCGGAGCGGTAGGAAGAACCGGAGAACATCTGTGTCACTTCATGGGAAATACCTTCAGATCGCATTTGATTATGGCTCTAACCTGTTGGATTTGAAGAAAGTTGCCTGTGACTCCTTGCTCGACCTGGGCGTTCAGGGTCACCCCTGGTACCTGGTACCTCGTGTCTTCGCCATCAAGGTTTCTTCATATACTTCGCTTAGACTCCCACTGTGTGCCCCGCGCATGTGCCATTTCTCTTCTGGGCGCAGATGTCCCCGATCAATGGGACATGTTCGCAATAAGGATATCCCGGCAGAGGTTCAGTCTAAGTAGCATGCCTAACTAGGAGCCCATGACGTTAAGTCTAGCATGGGCCGGTTTGATAGGGAGCCATAATCAAGGCACGCGCTGTGATGTCGGACAGCCCTTGAAGGCTGAAAAACGCACGTGGTAGTGCGTTGAACAGCATCAGGCAGGCTGGTTTGAAACTCACATCGAAGATATCGAAACAAGTTTGTTCAGCTTATGGGCCGGTGGGTATGTCTCACTTCAGATTATTGTCATATTTAGAACATTACACGAGAGCTAAGTCCAAGCCACAGGGCTCAAATATCTGACATAATAGCTTGAATGAGAGAATTACTCACTGGCCTGTGTTCATCTTCAGATAGTCCTTCTGCATCCCCAGGGGCTAAAACAGCCTTTGTGAGCCTTCCCTACTCGAAGCCTGCGATCGCGTGCCAAACCAACCTGGGTCCTCTCGGCTTTCTGAACGAATTGTTGGTTACCAAGTTTAAATGACTCGATTTTCGAAAACCGATAAGAATTGTCACCTCTCGTAGTCAAGCTTTGGTAAGAATTTAGCTTGATTGTTATTTGGCTTTTCGGTGATTTTTTCACTGAGCCGAAAAGTACTGGCAGCGTCTTATGCCGTGAGTTGCTATCGGTGAAGCTGAGACCAATGACGGAAGACCTGGAGAATTAATCCACAAGCGATAATGCTTGTTGAGGTGTCATACTACAGTGCGCCTGACCGCAATCATTCCAAACGTGGATATGAGCAGGCGCATGGCTTGATATTGATGCTTTTGTGGGATCTGTAAGAAAGTCGAGCAGACCCGAGAGGGGCCGAGCCGTGTTTGCTTTTTCCGCCCACGTCTCTGATGGTGGCTGCAGCATCACAGAGTTGGGAGAATATTTACCGCTTGCGGTTGGACTGCCACCGCTGCTTGGCTCGGATGATGCGAAAATAGCCGAGCTGCAGAGTACCCTCTGACCTCTTCTGGAATGGGGACTCACCCAGGCTTTCGAGGCAATGAACTTGCAAAGCCTTGCCTTAGGCGGGTGGCCTAAGTTGAACAACAAGAGAACAGTCAGAGATATTGTCGCAGAGTTAAACAGTGTTTCGCTTGATATCGTCTAGTGTGTATCTGGGGGACGATCCGACTATAATTATTATCAGCCTTATCTTTATTAACTTGGGACATTTCATTGCTCGAAGATTGGGGCTACCAGCTTGACGGGAATGATCTGATACGTCGAGCTGCCTGTGGGTGTGCCTGAGCGGAGGCTATACGATCTAATTTGGCGACTAGCGGTCAGCCAGCCCCAAGCTAACACGATCGGTACCAGACTCAGGCAATCCATGTGTTGGGGGGATTCGAGTATGGGATTGGACAGGCTTTACGAATTGTAAGCTAGATCGGTTGGCTCTGGAGTGCGCCATGTGCGCCCCTTCTGCTGGGATGAGCTGTCCGGGATCCGAGCGATGACTGATACTATAGTACGTGTCACTATAGTCATTACTCGCTAAATGGAACTAACCATCATTTCAAGGAGGTGGGGATGGCTTCAAGTACAGAGCCTAGTCGGTCAGTTGATTGTCGATGCGACCAAAGCGACTGGCAGCTGAGACACCTTGAGATGGGATCCCTGATCGCTCTTGAGATCTATCGGGCTGATAGTCAGGCATAGCCATTCCCTGAAGGAAGCCAATCCCAAGTGTGAGGTGTTCAATACGAATCCCAGCAAATCATACTGTATCGGATGTTGCGGCTCAGTCTAGCTCCCTCACATGTGTCATCTCAAGCACATGGTGCAGCTACACTGGTGGACCTTGAATCGTTACATGATTGATCCGTTCATTTGATGTCCCGTCCGGTTCATCTGGGTGGGGGCTCGTACAGCTGGAGGATTATCTGCATTAGGCTGTGCAGTAGATCCGACATCTGGTGAACTCTCACGGACAAGGCAATCCCGGGCGATACAGCCCCCTTGGATCATCGTGGAGGCAACATCCCAGCCTAACAGGACCAAATGACTCCTGCAGCTACAGGCCTGAAAAGAGCGAAAAAAGGTAATTGGAAATACTAGCAAGACCGGGCTCAGAGTGTATATAAACCACAGGCCCATCATGAACAAAGACACGGCAAGAAGCTGGCGATCCGCGTAGATCTTGCCTTCACTTGGTTCTTTCAATCTTGCGCTACTGAGCACTAGCGGCTCATCATGACAATCTTTTTGCTACTCCTTGGGCTTCTAGCCCCACTGGTTTTCTGCAGTCCAATCAAACATGCTACTCCGCATCTTTCCCAATCTGCCCCAATACCGAGAGATATGCAAGGCAATTCTTCGCAGTTACCCAATACTCCATGGCAGGGATACGATCTAAACACGAATTACTATGAAACCGTTCCACAGACGAATGTTGTCCGTGAATATTGGTTTGACATCGTCAACACGACCGCTGCTCTTGACGGAGTTGAGAGACCAGTGCTTCTGGTCAACGGCCAATTTCCAGGCCCTACTATTGAGGCAAACTGGGGCGACACTGTCAAAGTTCATGTTACGAATCGCATGGAAAACAATGGTACGGCCATCCATTTCCACGGAATTCGACAGCTGTACAACAACCAAATGGATGGAGTAGCAGCGTTGACGCAATGCCCTGTTCCCCCAAACTCCAGTTATACCTACGTCTGGAGAGCCGAACAATACGGGTCGAGTTGGTATCACTCGCACTTTTCTCTTCAGGCATGGGAAGGCGTCTTTGGGGGCATTGTGATTCACGGCCCTGCGACGGCAGATTATGACCACGACTTGGGTGTGGTATTTCTCAATGACTGGTCGCATCAAACAGTTGACGAGATGTATCAATCTGTACTCGAGAGTCAGGGGCCGCCTCATTTTCAGACAGGCCTTATTAATGGGAGCAACATCTGGGTTACCGGAGATAACCAGACCGTTGGTCGTAGATTCCATACAGAATTTGCACCAGGACAAAGATACCGGATTCGGCTAGTTAATGCAGCCATGCATACCCATTTCAAGTTCTCAATTGACAATCACGACCTTACCGTCATCGCTAGCGATTTCGTTCCTATTGTACCATTCACAACGAATAATGTCCCCATTGGCATGGGACAACGGTATGATATTATCGTGACAGCAAATCAAGCTCCGGACAATTATTGGATCCGAGCAATCCCGCAGTCCTTCTGCAGTGACAATTCGAATCCAGACAATATCAAAGGGATCCTCCGCTATAAGGGTGCTTCCAATGACAACGAGCCCACGAGCACAAAGTGGGATTACGGTGACGACTTCCAGTGCCTGGATTTCTCATTAGACGAGCTTGTCCCGTGGCTTGCCCTTGATGCAGACATAGGTGGCGCCCAGATGCACGAGTCAGACGTGGACTTCAGCCCATTCGGAGATGTTCCCTTGTATTTGTGGACAATGGGAGGTAATGCTCTTAATATCTCGTGGAAGGATCCCACCCTACAGCAAACTTTCGAAGATCCCGACAAGATGGACTGGGAAGCAAGCCAGGGAGTGATAGAGGCGGCGATCGCGAATAAATGGACCGTTTTGGTTGTCCAGACAGATCTTCCTGTTCCTCACCCGATCCATTTGCATGGTAAGTAAATCCAGGGCTGAACATGGAATGTGAACACACTAACTCTCAACCACAGGACACGATTTCTATCTCCTTGCTCAGGGATTCGGCCAATTCAGCCCACAGAATGTCACACTCAAAACGAAAAACCCACCCCGCCGCGACACTGCGCTCATGATCGCTGATAGTTCCGCGACTGGTGGCGGCGGCCATATGGTTATTGGCTTCCCCGCCGACAATCCGGGTGTATGGCTTATCCACTGTCACATTGGATTCCATGCAACGGAAGGGTTCGCGCAGCAGGTTGTCGAGCGACAGAGTGAGTTCAACTCATTCTTCAGCGAAGATTTACTGGTGGACACATGTGATGCGTGGGACGAGTACGCCAAGGTGAATCCCTACGGACATCAGTACCGGGGTCTTGCTGGGCCATACGAGTCGGGTATATAAGTAGTCATCTATTTCTTTTGATACTTGCAACATTTCCACTCATCGTTATTTTGGATATTGTTCGGGGTTTATATACAGCGCTTAATATCTGTCTCACATGGTCAGACGCTTAATGATGGAATGATTATAATGAGCCGGCAGCATATATACATACAGAAGCATCAGACAGACATACTAGTCCTTTACAATCAAACATTCATTTCATTTCCAAACCATGCAAACACCCCTACATAAATGATGTCAGCCTTCGCAAATAAATAATCACTGCAGTTTCCCCTCAGTGACATACCTCACAACCACTAGTAATCACCCATCCATCACCAAGCCGTAACCTGTTCCACTCCCACCCAAAACTCAAGCAAATGGAGGTACCCAATCACTTCCCCCCAAACGTCCGAGAAGTCGAAACAATCGCGAAAATCCACTCTACTTGACAGACCAATAGATGGACGCGTTGGTGACGCGTCGACGTCAGATATAGATATGATGGGATTATATCATATCATATCATATCATATCGCCTCATCATCCCGTATCAGATTAGATCGGGATTGGGATCTTGGGGCCTGAGGCAATGAAGTACGAGATGATTATGGGTATGTAGGTGAGTTGAGAAGTAGTATATTATGGATGTTTGAGGGTTGGAACCTGCTGTGTGCGGTGCGTGATATAAGAGGGGAGGAGGTGATGGGTGTGTAGGGGTTTTAGTATGTTCGCAGAAACAATCAATGATGAATTTCTTGGCTTTTGTTAGACGAGCAGGTGGGATCAAGATGGTATTTTAAGTTGGACATGAAGGACTACTTCATATTTACACTGGATGTGCGGCGACTAAAAGGGGAGGTTGTCGGACCCGAAAACACTTTCCAGGGGATTGAGGCTATCTTGGCTATCCAGTAGGAGAATATCCATGCTTGCCGTTGTTACCAGATGCAGGAGATCAACGTCTCAGGTGGTTACTATGTTTGAGACAGCGTGTTACATGATATGGGGCTGACTCGTATATGCAAGGATGAACCCACGTGTGTTTGGTTGATGGTTTGCAGGTGGTACAGAGTAGTAGACAAATAAATACAAATTCAGTGGATTTATTTGGATACATCTAAATATCCGTAATGGTCATCCTAGCTTTCCAATCATCTTAACATGATAAGTAGGCGAAAATATGCATGGCCAGTTGCATGTATGCATCGCGTTAAAATTTTCGCTTTCTACCCTTCTCAAAGAGATCGAGCTCAAATAGCAAAGCACACGCTGCAACCACACGGAAGCTTTTAATCTCACCATACACTTCTCTGCGACGGCGGGCGGAATCCTTGTCGCTCTCACCACCGACATGGATGCAGGCGATGCAGAATTCCAAAGGTTTGAGTTGATCCGACAGACTGGTTATTGGTGAATCGGATGTGCGTCCTTCGCGCATCTGCCCCACAATCCAGGTAGAGATGCGATCAAATTCATCGGCGAGTTTGTTGGATTGATCACGCTGCCGACGGGTCTGCACACCCCCTTTATTCAGGACAGACCCAATGAACACTTCTAGCTCACTCAGTGGCTCGATTGGGTGCTCGGAGTAATTGTTTCGTGCCGAGAACACGGCCTCTTCGTATCTGAAGCCACTGTCAGTCAGCCTCGGGTACTAGGGTTTCTGGACATACCTTAGGCGAATGTCTCGGGCTTCATCCAGCCAACGTTCCCATGACAAATCTCCTAGTTTATTACAGCGCTCAAGCATAGACCATAAGAACTCGTTCCAGAATTCATCTTCGTTGGGCTGGACTTTGCTTTGGATGTCTTTTTGCCAGATGAGTCGTTCATCAACACCCCTATAGAGCTTGCCCAATATCTTTTCTGATCTGTAGTACCTGTGGAACGGCTCCAGGTCATTGTCTTCATCGTAAGCGGTTTGAATAACATACTCCTCTAACTCGATCTCTGACTTATTGTGGATGCGTGCAACTGGGCCTGGTGCCATACTAGTGCGGTTGTCAGCGTTCAATATGCGAAAGATAGTGTATGCGAAGAATTGGCAACGTACAAGTCAGGCCTGAAAGGGTTCCCTTTGGGAATGTCCCCCAGTTGAACTGGAATACCCGTCTTGGAGAAGTCAACTGCCGTAGAGTGCAATTGTGCCAGCTGCCTGCACACTGGATGGGATGTTCCCTCCTCTTCCTGGTCAGCCATGATCATATGCCTTGTGGCGATCATCCCAAGATGATCGGTTTTCATGAAATCGAGGAAGAATTGCGCCATATCGTCGCGCTCCACTGGACGCCCGATTTCTACTGGGCTTACACGAGGATAATCCGCAGGCGCAAATGTCCGGACCGGATACGCATCGGTATCCCAAATGACGTTAAATATGTCGCCGTCGAGGTCGCCTCCGCTGAGTTGACTTGGTAGATCGCGATATCCCTTACTACTGAACACAATGCAATTCGTGAGCTCCGCCAACGGATGGTTGTCAGGAGGAATAACGTTCTGTGCATATTGAATGTCTCCATCATGCAAAGCTGGCGAGCGAGTCACCAAAACCGTCCCAGAGTCAGGAGGCGGCGCATGTCTTCCTTCTATAGGTTCATACGTCACGTAAACTTGTTCAGCTTCGAGAAGCCCCGTCTCGTCCATAACACCAAACAAAGTGATTCCCTTGAAAACAGGGATGCGAGCTTTGTGTTTCAAAAGACGCAATTCTTTGAGAACGACAGCTTCGACGACCGAACGAACAAAAGGATCTTTCTTGTAGTCAAGATCACGCAGATGGCAGTGACGGAAGAGCCTGTAGAGACCTATGCAGTCGCCGACCGCCTGTTTTTTGATGAAGACTTCTGAATTGTGAGCGCTAGCGGTAACACTACGAAGCTTGGTTAGTGCCGCCTCTTGCAAGGTGATGAACCATTCATCTGGCGTTCCCATATCCTCCAGAATCTTGATCATTTGTCGATTCAAGACCAGCCCCATAGGCGTAGCCGCCATATCGCAGATCTCGAGGTCTTTCATGTCTCCCTGAAATTTTATCATGGAAGGTCGAATGTTGACTTGAGAGCCCGAAAGCCGACCATCAAGAGCGAGCATGCCCTTTGCACCGCCTAGTCGGACCTGGAAGCAGGTAGGAGATCCTTTCTTCTCCGGTATGTGGTGCCATATGGTCTCTGCGACATCCCATGAGAGGGTTCCTACTCCATCACTGAATACCCGCTTGCCGTCATTAGATGTCACATCTGCTACCTCAGAGACATTTATGTCATATTCAGACAGGGATATAGCGTAATGAGTATCTGTAAAAGCTTGACCAATTCTGGCGGCACACCTAGCAGGTGATTGAATTTTGCTGAAGTCACCAAGCGCCTTGATGATGCTAAAGTGAGTCTGGAATTGACCGGATTCGTCAACAAACGGAGAGGAAAACTACAGTGAAATATTGTTAGATATTGTGAAAGCTTCCCAGACTAAGATGCTGTACTTACCCATACGGCATGAGATCTCAATGACGAGTGCGACCATCCCAAAAACGAGTAAGTCCGCCCGGCAATCTGGATGCCGTGGGTAAGAACACTTTTGAATCTGGCAAACACATCATCATAGCGAACTCGAGAGTTGAAGTGAAGATCTTGACCGTTCTCATCACAAAATTGCACTCTAATGAAGAAGTCATGGTGCTTTGGGAATCTTCGCAGGATTCTATTTCTAGGCTCCAGTTCCGGTCCATGGAGAGTCACTCGCGTGGGCGTAACCATGACCTTATGGATTGGGGTCAAGTTCTCAGAAGGACCTAGCACGTCTCCAGAAACCGCCAAGTCTTGCAAGACATCTTTCTGGTTTTGCTCCAGAGCTGCCATAAGAGCACCAACCTCATAGTCAGTTGGATTGCTGTGAGGGGAAGGCCAGTCAATCATATCAAACAGTTTCTTCAAAGCCAGTACTGAAATAGGTCTTCTCTGAGCTGCTATGTCTTTCTTATAAGCCTTGACCAGTTCTTGAGTTAAGCTCTGTACTGTACGTGGCAGTAGGTAGGCGTTGTATGCAAGAGCCTGCAACTGGAACAAAATACCGAAAGGAAGAGAGTTATTTCTAGTGCAAGTGGCTAATTCGTCCATGAGAGCCTTAAGTTGAACTTGAAAAGTACCCCTTGGTGGTGCGTTAATGGGCAGAATATCAAAGCGTAAAATGGGAATTTCCCACTCCTTGAGGTCATGAATGTCCTTCATGAGATCAACGTAAGGGACCCGAAACTGATAGACAAGACATTGCCCAGCCACATCAGCGTGGGCTGTACTCAGGGAGCATATTCGCGAACGGGAAGGTGGCGTTGCATGGTATTTTGAAGAAACAAGCTGGAGCATCTGAAATGCGACAGTCAAAGGATCAGAACCCTCATGAGTGAAGAAATATGGAACCGTAGATAAGGTCAGTGTTAGACTCCCATCCCTGGACCATATGAGCTCAATGACCGTGCTGAGTGGTATGCGGATGTGGTGCTTAGAGGTCTCTAACTTGATGATGATGGCCCTTTTCATAAACTTCATCAAGCCAGTGTCTGACCACTGCACCTCGGGAACATATCCGAAGTGCTCTCCCTGGAACATAGAATAACCACAGCTGAACCCCAATAGGCGGAAGGAAATATCCTTGTTGTCTTCATACTTGTGCAAGGTGTCTTTTACTCGCTGTTCAGCCATATGCTGAAGACTCTGAATGGCATATTTGCTCGGTGCCTTCTTACTGCGTGCGCAGAAGACATCGACACCCATGATTTTCAATTTAGAACGAAGTCGTTGTTTCCCGCGAGCATTCATCGTTCCCGGTATTTCTTCCTGGCCATGTAACAGCAGGAACCGCTCTCCATCTTCAGGGCGATAAAAAACAATAAACCCGATGCTTTTTCTCTTTGGCTTATCACATAGGAAGTCAAGGATGCCTAAGCGCTTTATAATAGGCTCCATCTCCTTCATTAAGCCTTGATCGGAGAGTTGAGCGGGGACATTGTGCATAAAAACCTCCATTATGAACAATAGACTGAAATACAAGAAGCAGAAGAGCGACGACGCGAAATGAAGGGATAAGCAATGATGGAAGAGAGAGTATATGTGAAGTGCGAGGAGAATGAGAAAAGAAGAGTGAAGGGAGTAGAAGAGGAGGAAGGAGGGGATCTAAACGCCCGGCGCTTCTGCCTCCCCAATCGGTTGGTGAGTGAATATCAGGTGACCCCATCGCCCATTCACTGCCACTCTTTTCTAAAGAGGCTCAACACGGTACACACTGATGGACTGTTTATACTCGCAATAAGTCACAAAGAAAACTGACCACAAATGCTTCCAAAATCTTACTGTGTATCGGGCAAACCAATGACGCTAAATGACGGAATCACCCGTATTTTATAGGACAAAAGGCTGGAACAACATGACTACACCGATGTAAGATCTGACCCCATGCAAAGTGAGGTAGAAGCTATCCTGGATTATCGATCAGATCATATATCGAGAAGTGACATAAGGAATGATCTTCACTTCCCCGATCAAGCCATTATCCACCCGATCGGGCAACGGGTCACTCAGTAGAGGCGCGATCCCAGATATCTCAATTCCATCGTAAATACTCCGAATATAATTCCACATTAGCGTGGGAACAATGGCAGTCACTTCATTGGAACCGCTGATGAGGTATGGGCCAATGTCAATGCTAGGGTTGGTAAAATCCAGAGGTCCCACATCATGACCATTTACGGTCACCTTGATGCCTTGGGCAATTTTGGGGAAGGTGAGGTATGCGCCGTCAACATTGTAAGCAGAACTCGAAGGCCAGGAGAATAAAGACGAGTAGTAGCCTAGACCGGAGGCGTTCTGAAGGCCTGCGATATCAAGCCAGGAGACTAGAGTGTCGAGGTGGTGAGTCGTGTTCCGCTTCACGGCTTGGATGGCGGCGTCTGATATGTTGTTGGGGGCTTCCCAGTGTTCAGCGATGAGCGTCCAGTTACGTAAGTGAGAAGTAAGAGAGATAGAATTGAGGGAGAGGTCATAGGAAGTTCCATTGCTGAGTTGAAAAATGCAGTCATTGCAGGGATCGGTTGATGCGTGGAGCAGGAGACCACCAGAGGTGCTGTAATTATAACCAAGGACGTTCAAAGGAACACGTATGGCATGAAGATCCGGGGTCTCTATTCCAGACCACAATTCGTTGCTAAAGGCAAAAGCGACCGTTTGATTCGCAGCAAGATGAAGAGGGATTTCTGTAGTGTTCCCGCGTCTCTCATAATGAAGTAACGGTCTCCGCTTGCCAGTCCAGCTGTCCAGAAGATAGGGTGTCTTAGTCGAGCTAACAGTGAGGTAGCCTCGAGAATCTGAGTCTCTCGAGAAGATAAATAGGTAATCGGTGCTATTATCAGTCCGAAGAACTGGGTACCAGGTGCCATTCGTATAAACGGCAACGCGCGGAGTGAGGTTGAGCTGCTGGAGCTTTGAGGTTGTTTGCCCAGAACCAGTGGCATGGACGTTCTGAGAACCGTTGAGTGTCTTCAAAGCAGCATAAACTGCGGTCCTATCGGTCGATTCACCATTGGGATAGTATCCTGGAAAACCACCACTGAAAATGACAGGTAGTCCGGCATTAGCGTACTGTTGAAGCTTCATGACACCAGCCAAAGTGACATTTTGATCGCTCGTAACAACAATAGCTTTGTAGGCGGGGGACTTAGGGGCCAAAAGACCGTCTGACACGGATGCTTGCGAGATATTGAAGTTTGCAGGCGAAAGATAATTGTAAGTGTAACCTGCCTTGGTCAGGTCATCGGTGGGATATAAGGTTTCAAGCTGTGGATCAGTCATTGAAACTCCATTGTATAGAGCGATGTCCGTTCGTGGCTGGCCAGCCTGCAAGATGTACTGATTCCGGCTGACATAGTCGATGGCGTCCGAAAGTCCATGGCCCCATGCAGGCTGCTTGTTATAGTAGGACTCTGCAAAAAGCATGAAGAAAGATGTGTACCCTGGCCACGTTGTCTCGTGATAGTTACCAGTATAGGACTGGCCGTGTAGGACAATCTGATTAACACCACCAGAAAAAGCCGTATTGATCTGTCCGAGTAGTTCGCTGAGCGGAAGGGCAAATGCCCTTTCTAAATTGGCGCCCATCTCATTTGAAACCACGTTCTTCTGAGCGACGTTTGCGGCACCCGAGAACTGGCGGTATCCGTCAATGTTGTTGTTGAATGCAAGACTCTCACACTCCGGAGCGACCACGTGGTTGATGCTCACTTCCATGTTGAGCGGTAGGTTGTAGGAGACCTGAGCCGATAAGCCTAAGCCCAAACCTTCTAGCCAGGTTGAAAGTGTGTCCAAGTAATTTTGATATCCTTTTTCTAGAGCAGCACGAAAGTCATTGACGTAGCCTCGTCCCTGATCTTCATGGTCCAAGACGCATTCCAGAGTACCTGGGTATGATGGTTGCACGCCGGGGTTGTTGTTTCCATACATCACGAGGGGAAGAAACTTGCGCAACCGATAGCCGTTGATCTGCTCAAAGATTTCTGGAATGCAAGGGGACCAAGAAATGTTAGACTTGATTTCGATGCTGTCCTCCCAGCCATAGCGGCCCACCTCTTGCAAAAGAGCCTTGAGATCGGTATCATTTAAGATGTAGTTTTCCCAGAAATCTATCGTAGTTTGAGCACCACGAGCGCTGAAGTGATCAACTGTGTAGGAGCCATTATCGAAAATGCTTCTTGTAGTGTTATCGTAGATGTCAAGGTTCTTCACAAGGTCCTGGTACTGATAGTAGGCAAAGAGACGATAGGAATAATGTTCGCTGACATTGAATGACAATGACACCATTCCATCGGCACTGACCACATCCGTATGATCTACTAGCGATTCAGTTGCCAAAACCAAGCGAGTCGCATTGTTTGCAGGAGTGGAAAAGAGACTGCTTGCGGGATTGACGATTGTAGAGGTGTTCACGACCCGCGCAGACACCAAAGAAACAAGCTCACCAGTTCCCCAACCGGGAATTTGACCCTTGTATGTGCCATTAGACGGGACACTGACATTAAATGGTGCCTTGAAATATCAGATCCTGTTAAGACTGTTCATTGAAAGGTCTCCTACCAGGTCCCAGTGAAGCCCTTCATCAGTTGTCTTGGCTGGAACACCTTGCCCCTGACTTGGCCCGAGAGCAAAGTCGAAGACCATGCCTGTATCCTTTGCACTCTGCAATGATGCCTTGAAAATGGTGTTGAATGCGGGTGTTCCAAAGCCATACGTCGCCCAGTCGGCACCATCGGGCTGCGGTGCCAACGAACCGCCATAGTTGTAGAGGCCGAGAAGCTCCACCCCTCCAGCACCTATTGCGCCAGCCTCTTTAATATCCTTCATAACTGTATCGGTGTCTACACTGGCATCGGGGAGCCAATAACGGAACTTCAACCTGACATCATTGGCCGGGGATGCGAAGGTCCCATGGCTGCTAGCTGCAGCTGCAGCTGCAGCCTGAGCTATGAGCAACGCGCCGTAAAGAAGTTTCATGCTCATGATTTTGGAGCACTGATCGTGGTAGAAGTGAAAGAGAAAGAGAAGGGAAGATCAATACTATACAAAATGTTAAAGACACATATGGGGCTGCGATTGGCTATTCGTCATTTATTATGTAGCACTCCAGTAGTGAGCATAATAACAAGTTGCTGTTCAGGTTTTCTTATACCTACCTCCAGTGTGGACCCTGGAAACAGACCAGCCCATCATGAAGAGGAGGCCCTCTGAATGGGGTAAGTAAGACTAGCAATCATATGCTTACAATAATAGGTGTGAGTGATACGGCTTTTCCGCCTGAAGAACCGGCCTCACTCCGAAGATCGGCAAGCCCTATAGGAACGCGTTCAGTTCCCCTCTCTAACTAACAATCTGGGAATGACCTCAAGATACCGGACAGGTCGGATTGTTACCTACTACAACAGTGGAGACGAAGAAAAAAGGTTCTCTTAAAATACGCCAGTCTCTTAATCCTCTTCGTGTTCTTTAAATATTTTTCTCATCAGCCAGCCGCCATGCTTTCGAGTGGCTTGGCAGGCAAACATAGGTAACCAGAGCGATCATAACCAGCACAATAATACACAAAGTGCTTACTTTGGATAAGGAAACACCCGTCTGAGTTCATTTATGCTGCATGAAGACCATGTTGATAGGATAATGTGACCGGCAGAGATAAATCTTCCGCCAGGGATAGGGGAGACACATTGCTTCGGTGTATCGGTGCATGGCGAAGCGATGAAGGCAGTGCTGCCGAGACTGATAGACGGGCTTCTTTCCCAGTGGGTTGAAGTATCCGTTTCTATCCCCGCTGATCCATGACTGAGAACGGTATCCACTAACAGCTCGTCGAGACGAGCTTCTACGCTAGCTCAGCACCACTAGAACCGTAGGATTGATTGGCACATCATGAGGATTAGGTCAAGTCCTTCACAGGTACCACCCATTGTTGACACGGAAAGAGATCGGCATTATTAATGTGGGGAAGGAAACCGTTAAATTTTCCGGTACCCTGCCTCCTGTCGCTGCGCGATTATTGAATTTGAAGGTCGAGGAATTCGACTCGTTAGCCTATCATACAGGCAAATCCCAGAAAAGTTATCTTGTTCGCCAAGACAGACTTACAAAGCAGTATTCTGTCATGGTTGCGGGGCTTGAATCGCGATGCAGTTACTAAGCGGCCGATGCACGGTCTATCATAATTTAATTAAAGTCATGGCAATATCGGAATGGAATCGGAAATCCCGAGTGCTATCAGACTGACGATCCATGCCTGCCGCGGATTCTGCATCAATTCTCTCGGCTGTCTTGGCTGTGCCCCCCAAACAATGCAGCTGATGCGTAAAAAGCATTCTTCGGTAATAGCTTCCATCTCCTACAACATGATTTCTACTTCTTCGAAGTGCACTCCCAACCATGATGCATGTAAACAACATACAAAGTTCCAAGTTGTTGGATATTTCGATGACATTTACTGGATCTAATCGTGAAATAAGACTCTACTCACTACGAAGCATACATCGTGCTATTCAATGAAGTTGAAAGAAGAAAAATAGTTGATTCGGCTAAAGCCAAGACACTAGGCCGTACAGCTCCGAGATCTTTTTCGAAGGGGCTCATGTCCGTTATCAATATCTCAAATAGGAGTCTAGCAGTAGTCCATGAATAATATTATGGCATGTATCTGGAGAGCAGATGTAGAGATATGCCCCAACAGTGATTATCTTTCGCGGGACCCGGCGCGGTCTTATTTCAGTACTGATGAATGCTCGTTTAGGTATCAATCCTCAATATTGCCTGCTAGTCCTAGATCCGTGGCACCAAAGGCTTGCTTAAAAACACGCGAGCAAACAAGTCCACCGGTGCCTCGTCCTTCCATTCGAAGCTGTACAGCTTGGATTGTCTTATCACTAGCTTCCGCTGGCTCATACATGCCATGAAGAGTCTAGCATGTTGAGGTAGGACGCATGACACCATAAGTACAGGAAAATGCTCTTCATCATGAAATAAATATGGGTGCACTTCTTTGCCTCTACCGCCACACTCGTCAAGTTCCTCCCGTACGTATTCAGAATCCACCAGTCGTTGATTCGCACGGCCTTTCATCGCCTCGACAATCGCGCACAGCTCTGAGTACAGAATGGCGTCTTCCCAACCCTCCTTATCGTCTAGAAGGTGAAAGGCTAGGTGTAAATAAGGCTTACCATTGTCGGGGCGTGGCTCTACCAGACACTCGGCCGTCCACCAACCGTTGTTACTGTAATTGTAGGCTAGTATGGCTTCCAGCCAAAACGTGCTTTCTGGAGCTCTGATATGGAATGTTTTCAGAACTGATTTTTTCTTCACCCAGTGGTAGAAAGAAACTTACTCCACACTCTGGAGACCCTGCTGAGACCGGGCCTCGCGAGTAGTGCGATCTTCGATAAATGTAGAGACTTGACGTACACGATCTATCGGTCCTATTGGAAAGTTCCTATCGCTATCGTCCTGATCGATGTCAAGGAACTCTCGTGCCAGCTTCGGATCGACTGGATGCCTCTCCAAATCCGCCAGATCCATTGGCTTAAACAAGATAGGAGGAACCATTGCCAGGTTGGATTCCGCATTATCCAAGTTTTCGAAATCAAATTGAACCACATGTTCGACATCTTTCAGGCTGCGAATATTGACATGGCCATCCTTAGGCACCTGTTTTCTCCATTCTAGTATGGTCTTGAACAGTCCCTCTAGTACAACACGGTTTCTGGTAGTACTGGAGGGCATCTTTGCAGTTGCTCTGGTATAGTATTCCTCACGAAAGACAAACGAGAAGATACCCCTTTGGGCAATATTCTATAATCAAGTAACGGAGTCAGCTTCAAGACACGTTACGAGAATTTGTCGCTCTGTCTGCTCTGAATAGCTAATAGGTGTCACTCCAGGCTCATCAGTGGTAATGCGCGCAAGCATGATGTGATGAGTACATCACCTGGCGGAATATGCAGTCAGGGTTGCATTAAGTTGCTAATTCGGGTCGGCTACTAAGGCCTAGGCGGCCCGTTTCCCTCAAAATTTCATATAAGATGCCTCGTATTTATAGGTGGTCCAAAGTATCCTTCCACGTATAAAGTGATAACGCTATGGTGTTGTATAGCTTTGGGGTCACCATGTCCCCTATAAGGTAGTTTTTTCAGTCACCCACTCCTCCGCAGCTGCGGCTTCGCGCGATAACATTCGTCGGAATGATAAGGGTCTCCTCTCTGTTGGAAAGCATAGTCGGCCTCCGGCCTCGATTTCTATAGTTGGCAGAGCACTACTACACGGCAGGCCTCCTCCCGGGTCGCTCAAGGGCGGTACTCAGTAGTTTGACGATACCACCTCCTCCACTTCCGTGTGGTCGATGACGGATGTGTCCTTGCTTGGCAGTTGAATATATTACTGAACTAGACGTTTTTATACTCCTAAATTGGGAATATGTATAAGTAGGTCTCCGGCCCATTAGGATAGATTTCAAATATAGTATAAACTGAAAGACTAAAATATATTCTAAACTAAGTTTCCCCGGGAAAGGTTGATTGTATTTATATTAGAAGGACCAGGCAGGTAGGGAATACGAGATAGTTAATATACCCTGGTAACATGGTGCCTTGGAGGCAATGAAGGTTGTGAATTACGATGCTTCAATTGTTATACCTCTATATTCATATCTACTACTTGAATAAAGACTACATCGTTATTAAATCCCATTTGGTTCTAGTGATAGCCTATCCTTCTATATCTGTATCGTACGTTGTTCCTTAACAACCCTATGGAATCTCAAGGACTCCAGAATCATTTTGATTTATGCTCAGGTAGGCGGTCGTGCTCGGGTCCCAAGGAGGCACTCTTATAGTATTGTACTACACCTTTTCAGAGATCTGACTAATTAGAATACTTGAGATTTTCATATCCTCATAGTATTGCACCGCAATGTCAATACACTTCTGGTATAGGGCCAAAGACTGGCTGGATACACCTGTCTACCCAAAGAACCGCCAGGACGAACTCGCTACTTACCCAAAGCTCACTCAGCGCGCATGTCTCCCTTTATTCAGGCTTCTGGCGTGCGACAAGCGCGTGTCTTAGTGCGGCGATCTTGTTCTCTAGCCACTTAGTAGACCAGTGATCAGTTGTAAACCACCTCAACTTGCCAGCCCGTGCCTCAATGTACAAGTCCAAAGCCTCACTCTGACACCCCCAGAGCTCTAGCAAAGCCCCCAATCGTTTCGCAGCCCAACAGTATGTCACGCTCGTCTCACCAAACACTTGCTGGGCGGTGTGGAAGAGCTGACGGTATATTCGGAAGGTATCCCTCAGTCCCTCGTAAGCTAGAGTTAGCCGAGTGACAGTCGTTTTTAGATCCTCCTGTCCGACGCCGTAGGCTATCCGCGCAAGGTTTCCACGCAAGCAGAGTTGCCACTCGTCAGCTTGGGGAAGTCGTCTGGCGAGGATGCCTCTGTAGCGTTTGTCGAGCAGATCTGCCTGAACGAAAGCGTTCCATAGGTATGGGACATGGCCGATTTCTGCAGTGTCAGCACGAATGCGACCAGGAATGGTGACGGACAGGACCCACCTTTGTATAGGAGATAATAATATTGACTACCTCGGCCTTGATTCACAGAAATCTTTGACTCCCAGTGCTTTGCATGACGTTGGAAATCCAGTTTGGATCTAATTACGTACCTTCAGCTAAGCAATAAGATGTTATGCTATGCCCTCAGATAACCTACATCCTCAGTGCTTCAAATCGGTCCCTGAGCTTCTGGTCGTCGACATCTCCATTTTCCCCCACCGAATAAACGTCCCCCCCTTCCTTCCGATCCCCCATCAACTCGGGTGTTCGAAGACCGAGAACCTTCATCTTCTCTACAGCCTGCGACAGCTGCACACCTATAGAATGTTTTCTTAAATACGCATTCGTGTCGACCTCAATGTCCTCGCGTCTCTCGTGATCAAAGAGATTGAAGGCCTCAATGCCCTGATCCACATCGAAACGCTGGTACACATTGCTGGTAGGGTTGAAGCGCCGTGCCACGTTTCTATGTGTAGGCCCTGTACCAGTTGCAATTTTCATTAACACCTCTATAGCCTGCACTGGCTTTCTAACCTTGGCAGTGATGGCCTCTGTGATGGTCTTCTTGTCCATACGTGTGACGCTACTGATGCCCGTGCCGATGGTCAGAAAGCATCCAATGTCGCGTTCTGGATCGAGGTAGCCATTGTCGGTCCACAGCGACGTAGCCTCCTCAAGCACGAGATCGGCAGGGTTGTTGAAGCCCAACCCAGCGTCGATATACCGGATCTCGCTGCCAGACTGGCCGTGTATGAAGGGCTCGAAGATAGTTGTAGCGGCTGAGGTGGCGCGTACCGCTTCCCAGATAGTCCAGGGTTTGGGCCTAGGGTTGATATTGACGTTAATGTAGGTCCGCAGGGCCTCTGGCTCCTCAGGCGTTGCACCTCTGTACGGGAGGGTGTAGACGACGCTGCAGCTAGCGTGTGAGCAACGCAGTACTTGATATGTAGTGGCACGGACAATTGCGATGTTCTGGGACTTACGTCTTGCATGCATCATCTCCAAGAGGATCAAGTAGAGGATCATTCTCATCCCCAAGGTACTTCTCCACCACTTTCTTTGTCTGCTCTTCAAGGACTTTCGCATCAAACATGTTTTCGTAAAAGAGGCCCCGGGGCTCCCCGAAGACAATCTTCCCAAGCTTCTGATACTCGGCGATGCAGCTTTCGACAGTCATCCTCATACGGCCTAACATGAGGGCAATAATTCTGGTAGAATTAGCCTGAAGATTTTCGGTTTATAATTAAATGATTGAAATGGCTCGATGCCCAGTAAAACTGACCCTCCAGTGCTCGTTCCGCCAATGATGTCGAAGTACTGATATGGTTGCAAGTCAGGCCTCTTCATCTTCGCACCAACCCTTGCCATGATTCTCTCTAGGATAAGCAATGATGATAGGCCCTTGACACCACCGCCATCTGATAGTTTGTTAGCGAGCACCGCAATCATATTCTTAGTCGGGGAATTACCAAGGGCGAGGATCTTCAGTCTCTCCTTATTTGCAGACATCACCTGGCGATTGGTCACATGAGTTTCTGTACAGATGGCAGAGGTCAAATTCGACAATATATAGCATAGTGGCGTTAATATATTTCAACAGGCCTTCTAGAGTCATCCATTTTATATGTCTCCCACTAATTATATTGTTGCTCGTGTTTTGAAACTGTCTTTACCGAAGATTAAAGATCGTATTACGAAGCATGTACCAGCGATGTCAAGCTGCCATTTGACGCAGCTGGTATAATATGACGTTAATATGATTGCTACATTATGGACCGCCTGGACTTGCGCCACCTTCCGATGCATCAGATCAAGCCCCGACAGCAATGTTCCCACCGCAAAGTAAGGCCAGCCCATACTCCAACAGGACTGCCAGGGATATCCGTTGTCTTTACTGTTGATAGAGCTGGAAACCCACTTTACTTCCATATCTCCGACCCACAGCAGCTAATGAAGTTATGATGTTGAGCCAAAAGTCCCTTGTACGTTGCTGTCAGCGACTGTTCTCTCGACTCCACATTTTCGGAGAGAAATTGAAGCGTCAGGATCATCTGACAATTCATCCAGACGTTGAGCACGCTCTACAATATATTGAAACACAGGATATCCAATCCAAGTTCTTTGAGAGAGCAACAGCAATGCCACAGGAACAGTCCGAGGAGGCAGGAAAGGCACTTCAGACCTGCGTATCCCACCTTGACTCCTGCCTCAAGTTTGGTGAGCTAATAGGCACTTCGCAATGGAGCTCTGATGACGACTGGGATCTATCAATTGCCTGGAGCTTGTTTATGGACAATTTCAACATTGCCAGCCACCTGCTCAACTTGGCCGAGCTGGATCTCCATCTGTTCCTTGGGCTGCAACCCCAAGCAGTAAGTGCTCGCAAGTATCTATTTGAGTAGACAGCCTTGCTAATACATGTCATCCAGAGCCCTACCCCCCGCCTTGTGGCCCTTGGCCTCATCCGTGAAGAGTCGACTTCTAGCGCAACCTCATCAAGAGCGGAAACAATAGAATACTGGGAGGACTTACGAGGCAGACAAGAGCAGGATCGCCTGGCAGGCCGTCGACCAGGTGCGATGGGGAAGACACCCACGGGAACGGATCAACATCCGATTTCACCACCAAGGCCCTCATCCATTAAGCCGCCGGATCCATCCCAAGCGAAAATTGGCGAAATACTTACCGCATGTTGCCCAATATTCCCTTTTAATATGCTTGATTTTCTAATAGAATCCATAGCCAGACAGCATCCCCTCCGACTTACCTCCACCATACGAACCACCGAAGCCCCCCATCCGCATCCTGGATGACAAGGGCCACCATGGCGACCCCCAACTGCACGTAGTCCACCGCGTCGCATCCGATTCTACACTTGACATCTCAGCACCTAGCAATACAAAAATACGCTTGTACGGGTCGAACAACACCTTTAACAACTACGCCACAGCTCCGCAACTTCGCCCGGACCTGCGTCCGACGCCTTCCATGATGATGCACTGGCAGCCGCCGGGAGCTCCCCCCCGATTCTTCACACCTCCGCTCCCGCCGCAGAGACCACAGACATATAAGCCCAGCTGCACGTCGCTACGCGAGACAGCGGCGTTACATCTGCTGCGGCGGGGGGCGCCGGACCTCATACTGCACGCATTTAAGCCTGAGGTTACGTGCG